TTGGAAAGCTCAAGAACAACTTCTAGCTTCGATTTAATCAAGGTAAGGGTGTGAAATATCATTATATTGTCAATGTGTATGATTATGTATGGATTGTTTGGATTGTTGGATGTTTTTCTCCATTTTCCATTTTAGGGCAGAAACAAGATTAATCGATAGAGTCGATGTTTGAACGGTTAAAATCTGGAATAAATGGTGTAGTTTAGTCGAGAAATGTTAGGCTAAGACTACTGGGATTCGTTGGAATTGAATCGATTGATTTTGTGATGATTTGATAATTTTGGACAGTTGGGGTTTTGAACATCGCAGACGTTCGCTAGCACCTTCGCTAGGCGAGCAAGTCGCGAGTGTTCGCTGTAGTGAGCTAGTAGCGAATGGTCCATGACTTGGACAGAATGTGATTGACCCTCTTCGCTGGTAGCGAGCGAGGTAGCGAGGGGTTCGCTAGGCGAAGCTCCAGCGAGTAGGTAGCGAAGCCTTACAGTAGCTTCTGTTTGCCTTCGCGAGCTTGTTCGCTAGGCGAACACGTAGCGAGTTTTCGCTAGGAACTCGCTAGGCGAGCAAGCCAGCGAGTGTGACAACATTCTCATTTCTTTGTGATTCCATCCAATGTTGATTGTTTGGTTCGATTGTGTCCAATCTTGATCTGAAATGAGTAATTGTGTTTTGTTATATATATGTTGTGGGTAGCCGTATGGCGTGAATCCTAAATTATGGAATCGATTATGGAATATGGTTTCTTTGACAAATATGTGCATTGTTTGAGTTGATTAAAAATGCATGATGATTTTTGATGAAGTTTGTTGTCGTTTGGCACGATGATGTGAATGCATATTGATTGTATGCAATATTGTGAATAATGCATGAGAACATATTGTGAATATGTGTGCATTGCTTGATAAATGTGATGATGTTGAAAGTATGAATACTTTGATATGATGTGTGAGTGTGCAATCATGTTATAATTCTTATGTGATGAATTATTTGAGAATGCATGAGATTAAGATGCGAGAACGGTCTTAAGTGCATTTGGTTGTTGATTGCATACGCATCATTTGGTCAAGAGGCAATGCTTGCTAGTTTCGTGGAGACTAGTGACTTGTCCCAAACCTAGAAGAGTGGGTTTGAAAGCTTAGAGGACGGGCTTTTGTTGTTATCGGTCTAGAGGACGAACCCGATTTAAATGTAAAAACCGAAAAATGATAATAAGTGTTGGTACCACATGGCATGAGTTGCATTGAGTCACATGGCATAGAGATAAATGTTGTGTGAATGTATGCATATGTGTATGTTATGTGGATTGATGAGAATTATGGATGTGCGCATGATGAAACATGTTTGGTGATTATCCATATTTGTTTATACATATATTGTGATGTATATGATGATGATAATGAACTGTGGTGAGAAATGTGGAATACGTGTATTCTATGCTTGTATATATATATATATATATATATATATATATATATATATATATATATATATATATATATATATATATATATATATATATATATATATATATATATATATATATATATATATATATATATATATATATATATATATATATATATATATATATATATATATATATATATATATATATATATATATATATATATATATATATATATATATATATATATATATATATATATATATATATATATATATATATATATATATATATATAATTATATGCATTGATTATTATAATAATATTTCTCACCCTTCTGCTGTTTTATAATGCTCTATGAGGCATTGCAGATTAGGTTTGTTGGAGGTCTTTTGTGAAGTATAGCTTCATTCTTTTGGTCGGTTAGCTCTGATATGTAGCACCGGGTAGTTATGATTGTATAGCATTCTTTTGTGATACATTTGTATATGTATCTGCTGGAAAATGTTTATGTAAACATGATTAATATGGTGAATCAAACTGGATGATATGTATTTATATGATTACATGTTTAAAATGATTCAATGTTTAGATTTTCCGCTTTTAATTCTAAATATTGAGATATGGGTGTAAGGACTAAGTTCCTCTGTTGAAAGCTACCCCATTGTTGCATATCTTTTATAGAGCATGTGTTGTATGTTTCAATTTTGTGTATGATGTGATATGCCTCTTTTATACCATGTTTTAATTTTACTCTGATGAAATTTTAAAATGTGCTTAAATGATTTATTTGATTATTTGGGGGTTTAGAATGGGGTGTTACAGAAGTGGTGTCCACAACTGCATATTTGTTGAATTGATGCCCAACAAATAAATTTGAAAATATCACACCAGAGGAAGCATGACCTGGATTTAAACTGAACCTGAGTCACTTGAGATTTTTTGATTCAGTAGCATATCGACATGTGTCGGGACAACTTAGAGAGAAGTTGGATGATTAGGGAGAATTGATTATTCTTGTAGGGTCTCACTCTAATGGTGATTACAAAAATTTTAATGAAGCAAACTAAAGGATTTTGATCAGCAGAGACGTTGTTTTTGACAAAATTAAAAAGTGCAGCAGAGTGCAATTGATTGTCATAATATGTGAACTGGTTACACTAGTGAAAATTTTGTTCCTGCAGTGCTAGAAGGCACACATCCATCCCCTTTGAAGCTTGAATGGAAGATAATGTTAGAAGATCATTAAGGCAAAGAAGTTTGCCTACTAGACTCCAAAATTGTGAGTTGTTTCCGAAAAAGAAAATCAGTGGCGATGGTGATTTCGTCCATTTTGTACTTATGGTAGAATCCAAACCCGTAAAGCAGAGGAGGCTTTGAGTGATCCAAAATACATGTGTTCCATGAAGGAGGAACTATAATCGATTGAGAAGAACTAAACTTGGGAGCTAGTTAATCTACCGGAAGGAAATAATTCAATTGGTGTAAGATGGGTGTACAAAGTGAAGGCAAATCCCAAGGGTAAAATAATTAAGCACAAGGCTCGATTAGCTGTAAAGGGATTTTTTTTCAAAAAGAAGACATAGACTTTGAAGAGGTATTTGCATCGGTGGATGTAATTGAAACCATCTTATTGGTTGATGGGATTGCAAACAACAACAATTAGTCCATTTATCAAATCTGCATGTTCAAACAGACCGCTTGAATAAGAGGTTTATGTAGAACAACCCCTGATTTTGTTGTGAAAAATCAAGAGTAAAAGTTCTATAAATTGAAGAAAGTGTTGTACAGTTTGAAGCAGGCTCCAAAAGCTTGCAACAAGAGAATATATGGTTTTTCAAATGAGATAGGTTTTAACAAGTGTGTTTCCAAATATGGTGTGTATGTGAAGAAAGATACAAATTAAGTGATGATAATCATATGTCTCTATGTAAATGATTTGTTGATTTACTAACAACAATCAATGTTGCATTTCTAAGTTTAAGGGTGAGTTTATGAAGAAGTTTGAGATGGCCGACCTAGGACTCATGACATACTTCTTTAGTATTGAGTTTTACAAGTCCAAGAAAGGATTGCTCATGCACCAAAGAAGGCATGTACTTGAGATTTTGAAGAAGCTTGAAATGGAGTATTATAATGTTGCCATTACTCCGGCTGAACCGAGGCTGCAGTTTTCGAAGAATAAGGATGATCAAGATGTTAATCCGACTCAGTATCGAAGGCTGGTTGAATTTTTGCATTACTTGTGCAATACGCAACTAGATTTTGGTGTTTAGTTTCGGTATTGTGAGCAGTGGAGAGACCGAAGGTGACTCACTTGGCAGCAGCCAAGAGGATTTTGTGATACGTCAAAGATTCTGTTGACTGTGGATTTTTGTTTCCCGCTGTGGAAAATAGCAAAAAGTGCAATTTGCTCTGATATACTGATTCCAACTAGTGCGAAGATAAAAATGAGAAAATCTACCCCTGGATATATATTTATGTTCAGAGAAACATCAATCTCTTGATGTTCAAAGAAGGAACCGATAGTGGCGACCTCTTCTTATGAGGTTGAATACATTGCAGCTGCATTGTATGTGTGCCAAGCCGTGTGGTTGATGAATTTTTTGAAGAAGCTAGGCAGCAAAGAGGGTGCTGTTGTAGGGCTCATGGTTGATAACGTTTTTGCTATAAACCTTATTAAGAACCGCATTGCACATGAGAGAAACAAGCACATTGAGACGAGGTTTCACAACTTGAGAGAACTTGTAAGTGAAGGAAGGTTGAGATTAAGAAATTATAGAAGTGAAGACCAACGGCCGATTTGTTGACAAAGTGAGTCACAATTGAAGTGTTCAAAAAACTTAAAGTGACAAAATGCAACCGGTTGAGATAATATGTCAACTAGTTACACCTGAAACATTTAATTAAAAATTAAATCTGTAATTGCATGTAAAGTTGTAAATCGATTAGCATTCTGCAATAGTTACCTCTGAGAGTTTTTAATTAGTTTTATTTATTTAATAATTATACATCATCATGTATTCTTATATAAATATTCTTTGAATATCTAATAAATAGTAATCCACATATTTTCACCATCAATTATCATTATTTTCCATGTTCTCTTCCTTTCGCTCTCCGCAATTAACTTTCACAATTATTCACCCATGGTTCTAAGATCTCTCCATCTCCGCACTCAATTTTCACAATTATTCTCCAATGATGTCAAGTTCCAACAAAATTTACAAAATTAAGTGAGTCAAAGTACTTTCCATCATATTCCCACTTCTTCATTTCTTCCATTACCAAAATTTTGAAAATATAAATTTAACAATGAAATATTTGTGGGTCCTTTATTTTCTCTAAAATTCTAAATTCTTTACAACTACTATAATAATAAATAGTAAAAATGTAAAGTATGAATGTGGAAAATTTTGATTGAGTGTATGATATGAGTCATTACTTTCTAACCTCAAACGCACAAATTGAATCATTATAATCCTTTTTTGAATTCTACGTTACTTCATTCCCTCTGCAACATACTCACTCAATAACCTAAACACAAGCACAAACAACTGTGTCTTGTTGCTTTTGTTTCTCATTCTCACCGTAACAAATGTCCACAAAAACCTTCATGGTTTACGTACTATCATGTTTCTCTTTCGCTCTTCTCTCTGCACTTTTTCTCATGCATAATAACCAAAATCCATTGTCATCATCATCATTATCATCAACCTCTACCCGTTATGATAGAATTTGGCCGGTAAATTTTTCTTACTTTTTTTCTTCATTTAATATTGCACTCTTCAATCTTATTATTTGTGTTTTCTCTGTAGGAACTGAAACCGAGTTGGAAACTTGTTTTGGCCACAGTTATTGGTTTTCTTGGATCAGCGTGTGGAACCGTTGGTGGCGTTGGTGGTGGTGGCATTTTTGTTCCTATGCTTAATCTTCTTCTCGGTTTCGACGCCAAATCTGCTGCTGCTCTTTCTAAATGTAATAGCACCAATGTTTGCAACACTATAACCCTTACAATGAATTGAACTCGATACTCTAGGGTTAATTTTCGAGACTCATGAGTTTGAATTGTTGTGGAATTTGTTTAGGTATGATAATGGGGGCATCAGCATCTTCTGTATGGTACAATTTGAGAGTGGCGCATCCAACGAAAGAGGTGCCGATATTAGACTATGATCTGGCTCTTTTGTTTCAGCCAATGCTTATGCTTGGGATTACTCTTGGTGTTACTCTCAGTGTTGTTTTCCCTTTCTGGCTTATTACTGTCCTCATTATCATTCTTTTCATAGGTTTTCCTCTTTTTCTTTTATGGATGAATCAATTATATTCTCGAGCAAGAAGAGAACACTGTTTTATACTTTTGTTATCCATTGGTTTTGTTTTTGTACAGGAACTTCTTCAAGGTCGTTCTTCAAAGGAATTCAAATGTGGAGGGTTGAGACTATTCTCAAGGTCAAAATTTCTTGACTTTAGATAATGAAGTCAATAATTGTCAACTCACTATGTTTTTTTTATATTTTTTGTTTTGCAGAATGAAACTGCTAAGCAAGCTGATTTGGTTAATTCCAATGGAGAATATGAAACAGGTATGCAAATTTCCAAAATATGTCTTGCTCTTATTGTTTTGAATGGAGCGGTACTAGTGACTCTATTTTCATGAAATTTGCAGTACTAATCGACACGAGATATGAGCCATTGATTCCTAAAGAAGAGAAATCAACTATGGTATGTTTTCTTGCATATGGCAAATTTTTCATTCTGCTGTTTTCAAGAGGAACTGAGTTTTTCTCGTGTGAAACCGTTTCAGCAAATTCTGTGTTTTAACCTTAAATGGAAGAGGATTCTGGTGCTGTTGGCTGTGTGGATTTCTTTTCTCCTTATTCAAATCATCAAGGCAAGTTTCCCTCTCACTCACTCCTCCATTCGCACAGGTCTTTTAAGTTTTAGTTTTGTTCATTTTTTACAATAACCAATTCATTGTTGGTTTGCAGAATCATGTAGAGGTCTGCAGTGTATGGTATTGGGTGCTCTTCGGCCTGCAGGTTTGATCACATACCCTCAACTTATTGATGATTCATAGTAACAGCCACGGTCTCATTGTAATATGCAATGTGGTTAGGCTTTGGCTAATTGGCAATGCTTGTGTCTTTTTTCTGTTTCAGTTTCCAATTGCGCTTTTGGTATTCGGTTTTGAAGCAGTCAAGTTGTACAAGGATCACAGAAAGAGGAAGGGTACAGGGAGCCTAGAATACATATGCGAGGCTTCGATAGAATGGAGTGTTACATCGCTTGCGTTTTGTGCTATGTGTGGTATTGTTGGTGGAATTGTCGGAGGCCTACTTGGTTCTGGAGGTGGATTTATTTTGGGGCCTCTTCTTCTTGAGATCGGCGTCGTCCCCCAGGTACATTACGTGATCTCTTTCAATTTTGCGTACCAATGTTGTCAATGACAGATTGCAAAAGAATAGCGATCTGTGCCAATTCCACTACGCTACAGCGCTATAAACGACACTATGGTTGAAATTGTTTTGACCAGTGTTATCAATTGTGGTTCACAAAAAATAGTGGTTTGCGCGAATTCTGTTACATAACAACACTATAGCGACACTACAGTCACAACGTGACAATATTTTGTACTAACTTGTGTATCACGGAACACTAGTGCTGATGTATAAGAAACTTGACTGCTAAAAGATGTTTTGATGATTTAAATTGTAGGTTGCTAGTGCAACAGCAACATTTGTGATGATGTTTTCATCATCTTTGTCTGTTTTTGAGTTCTACATTCTCAAGAGGTTCCCTATTCCTTACGGTACATTTCATCAACTCTTCAAACCTTTGATCCATTTTCAACATCTTATCAATACGAATGTAACAACTTTTGTCGATTTTCTTGTATTTGTACGCAGCATTATATCTCGTGACAGTGTCTGTTTTGGCTGGCTTCTGGGGACAATTCTTTGTAAGAAAGTTAGTCGCGTTTCTCGGGAGAGCATCACTCATTGTATTCATCCTCTCAGCCGTTATTTTTGCTAGCGCTCTCACCATGGGTAAATCATCGAAAACCAACTTCAATTTCTAATCTATGTACAAAGATTTTTGCACAAATATTAATATTAATGTTATAAATTTTTTATTTCAGGTATTGTTGGCACTGAGAAGAGTATTCAAATGATACAGAACAAAGAATTCATGGGATTCTTAGGATTTTGTACCTCTTAAGTGGTATAGAGTAAAGTAGGAATATCAAACAAAAGGAAAATCAAAGGTTGGTTAATGTCTGTTGACCAACGTGAATGTGTATATCTCTAGGTAATTTTTTGTAATCAACAAAGATTAGAAAGTTAGTGGCAATGTTAGTTTTCATGGTTTAAATTTTGGGTACCATAGAATATACCTTTCTCATTTCCTCCAATTTTATAGTTTGGTAACAATATGTGGTGCAGAACTGTTGGATCTGATTACTACAGATAGGTTTCATGAGAATGGCATTCAACCAAAAGAAATATCATTGTCATAGCTTTTGTCTATACTTGTGTGTTTGGATTTTGTCAACAAGTTGAATGAATTGAAGTTTTTGTATTGATAGAGATTATTCCTTGTGTGGAAATTAATGTACTTTATGGCTTTTTTGTTTTGGAAAAATGTCTGTTACGGTTATGTTGGAAACTTGGATTTTTGTTCTTTAATGTTGCTTATAGAGTACTACACATGTCTGACATGTTAAGAATTTTCTCACCTATAGCAATAGAATCAATAATTGAAATCATGTAAGACATGCACAAACTATATTTACTTAAAGTTACACAAATTCAATGTAGACATGGTTAAAAGTATCTAGACACCCCAAACTTAGTATAGACATGTGTTCAAATCATTATAGCAAAATAATAAAAAATCATAATTTGTGAGCATAGAGAAACTCTGCAAAAACAATTCATCTTCACTCTTTCAATAAACTCTAACTTTTTTCTTCCCCAATACAATTTTCTTTCTTTGTTTTCATCATCATTATGTAGTAATACAATTTTGTAACTGTGAGATATTGGATCGAACTATAATATGATCGAAATCTGCTCCCGAGTAATGTGTGTTGTAGTCAAAGTTTGTTCTAACATTCATTAGTCAATATTGCTAGGTTTGTTAGCATGTTGAATTGAGCCTTACTTGTAAGTCCAATTGGTTAAGTTAGCTTGTAATAGGTAATTGTTAAAAAGCCCATTAGGTTAATGTGTTAGTTTTCTTTAAATAGCATGTTAGTCTCTCAACTTGCATAAGGAGAAATAGGAAGATAAAATCCTAATCTAAAAAGAGAGGTTATTTGTTATTCTTGTATACTTGTAATCTTGTTTGATAGAGAAAGGAAAGAATAACAGTTTATAATCAATCTTTGTTGTTTTCCCTTGTTTTCTTTTTTAACCCTAACCCTTGTGTGTTTCTTGTCTATAAAGAAATCGTTTATATTTTGTTTCAAGGCATCCTATTCACAATAAATTGGTGCGGTGAGCATGGAGAAGATTCCTTCAACAAAGTATGAGATTGAAAAGTTCACCGGAGTGAACGACTTCGGTCTGTGGTGTTTGAAGATGAAAGCCCTACTGGTTCAGTAGGGTTGTTTGGAAGCGTTAAAAGGAGAGGCAGTCATGGACGTTGCGTTAACGGCAAAAGAAAAGACAGTCATGATTGAGAAAACCCACAATGCAATATTGTTGAGCCTTGGTGATAAGGTTCTTTGATAGGTATCAAAGGAGACTACAACATCGGGGTTATAGGTGAAACTTGAAAGTTTGTACATGACCAAATCTCTGGTGAATCGACTCTACCTGAAGCAAGCTTTGTATTCATTCAAGATGAGTAAAAACAAAGTGTTAGCTGAGCAGTTGGATATGTTCAACAAGCTGATTCTTGATCTTGATAATATTGATGTGAAGATCGACGATGAAGATCAAGCACTGTTGTTGTTGTGTGCCTTTCCCAGAACACATGCTCACTTCAAAAAAAACTCTCTTGTATGGAAGGGAGTCTCTGAGCTTTGAAGAAGTTCAATCAACCTTGTATTTTAAGAACTTGAACGAACAAAAGGAGCATAAACCTTTGACGGTGGGCGAAGGTTTGATCGTTAAAGGAAAATTCTTGCGAAAGGATGGTAATTTCGACAAGAAAAAGGGTAAAAGTCAGCAGAAGTCTTATAGTGGCAAAACATCTGGTATTCGATGCTATCACTGTAAGAAGGAGGGTCACACAAGAAAGGTGTACATTGAACGCCTAAAAGATAATGGAAGTAAGGATAATGGCAACGCAGCCATTGTTCAAGATGACTTCGACTCATTTGATGTCCTTGTAGTTTCAAGCGGCGACTTAAGAAAGGAATGAATTATGGATTCAGTTGCACTTGGTACATGAATCCAAACAAAGAGTTGTTCGAGGAGCTATGTGATCAAGATGGTGGATCAGTATTGCTGGGAAACAACAAATCTTGAAAAATTGCAGGTATTGGGTCTGTGAGATTCAAGCTCCATGATGAGTCAATAAGGTTATTGACTGAAGTCAGGTATGTACCTGATTTGAAGAGAAATTTTATTTCTCTTGGTGAATTCGACAGGAAGGGATGTGTTTTTCAAGGAGAGAAAAATATCCTAAGAGTCATGAAGGGTTTGAAGTCTTGCGAGGCGTGAAGAAACAAGGCTTGTATACTGTTGAGGCTGAGGTTGTAAGTGGTTCGATAAATGTTGCATCCATGAAACCTGTGTCGAAGACAGAATTGTGGCACATGAGATTGGGCCATGTCAGCGAAAGAGGTCCGGTCAAATTGAGGAAGCAGAACCTGCTAGGAGGTGACAAATTCAAAAAGTTGGAGTTTTGTGAATCTTGTGTATTTGTTAAATCTTGTATGGCAAAGTTTAACAAAGGAAAGCAAAGAGCACATGGATCCCTGGATTACATTCTTGTTGATCTTTTGGGGCCTGCAAGGAATCTTTCACACTCAGGTGCAAGGTATTTTCTACCCATAGTTGATGACTATTCCAGAAAGCTATGGATATTCATCCAGAAGGCGAAGGATGAAACTTTTGAGATTTTCAAAAGTTGGAAGGTTTGGGTCAAAACTCAAACTGGTAGAAAGGTTAAGAGGTTGAGAATTGACAATGGCCTTGAGTTATGCAATGAAGCGTTCGACAGTTACTGTGTTGAGTCTGGGATTGCAAGGCATAAGACTGTAGCAGGTACTCCTCAACAAAATGGCTTACCTGAGGGATTCAATTGAACAATCCTTGAAAGGGTTAGATACATGTTAGTTAGTGCTGGATTAAAGAAGGTGTTTTGGGCGGAGGCTATTTCGACAGCAGCTTATCTGATAAATAGATGTTCCTCTACTGCCTTGGGAATGAAGACACCTGAATAAGTTTGGTCGGGATATCCACCTAGTCTCGACAGACTAAGAGTATTTGGTTGTGTGGCCTATGCTCATATTAGGCAAGGCAAGGTCGAACCTAGAGCTCTAAAATGCATGTTCATGGGATACCTTGAAGGAGTCAAAGCTTATAGGCTACGGTGCCTAGAGCCAGGTCATAGGAGGTGTATCACCAGTCGAGATGTAGTTTTCAATGAAGCAGAGATGACTTTCAAGAAAGCTGATGATGCTGACGAAGAGCTGGAATAAAGAGAGATTCCTGTTGATGTGGAGCATGTTGATGCTGAATTGTGTATCCCAAATGAAGTCGAAGAAGACGCAGAAGATGTTATCAAAGATGAGGAGACTGATAATGACTACCTGCTAGCAAGAGACAGGTCGACGAGAGTCATCAAGCCACCTCAGAGACTTGGGTATGCAGATCTTATAGTTTATGCCTTAATCTCTGCAAGTGAGGTTCTAGATGAAGAACCTAGAGACTATAAGGAAGTTATGAGGAGTCGAAAGAATACTGAATGGCTGAAGGCCATGGATGATGAGATGAAATATCTTCATGATAAAAACACCTAGGAACTGATCAAGAAACCTGTTAGAGCCAGGTTAGTCAGTTGTAAATGGATTTTCAAAGTTAAGGAAGGAATCGAAGGAGTGGCGTTGAAGAGATACAAGGCAAGATTGGTCGCTAGAAGGTTCACTCAGAAAGAAGGTGTCGACTTTATTAATGATGTGTTCTCTCCTGTTGTGAAGCACAGATCCATTCGAATGTTGCTTGCCACGGTGGCACAGTTCAACCTTAAACTGGAACAGATGGATGTGAAGACTGCGTTCTTCTATGGTGATCTAGATGAAACAATCCTTATGAGGCAACCTAGAGGGTATGTCGAAAAAGAGAAGGAAGATTATGTGCGCAAACTGAATAGATCTTTATATGGACTAAAACAATCTCCTTGATAATAGAATAGGAGATTCGACAAGTTCATGGCATGCATAAGTTTCATTAGAAGTCAGTTCAACCACTGTGTTTAATTCAGATTTCGACTTGGTAATTCATTTGTTATTATGTTGCTTTATATGGATGATATTCTAATAGCAAGCAACAATGTAGAAGATATAATGAGGGTGAAGGCTGAACTCAATAAGGAGTTTGACATGAAGGATCTGAGAGATACGTCCAGGATTCTTGGGATTGTCATCTGAAGAGATAGAAAGCAGTCGAAATTATGCTTATCTCAAGAGGCATACCTACGAAAGATTCTGGAAAAGTATGGTATGTCGAATTCAAAGTCTGTTGTGACTCCGACAAACCCTCAATTCAAGCTAAGTATAGATCAGTGTCCCAACACTGATGTCAAAAGAGCTTATATGAATAGCATTCCATATGCTAATATAGTGGGTTCTTTGATGTATGATATGGTATGTACTAGACCCGACATAACATATGCAATAAGTCTTGTAAGCAGGTACATGGTGAATCCTGAAAAGGCTCACTAGCAAGCATTGAAGTGGATTCTAAGGTACATAAATGGGTCTCTGAACAGAGTCCTAATTTATGGCGGAGCCTTGGGTGAAGATAGTAAAGCAGCAATCGAAGGATATATCGACTCTGATTATGCAGGTTGTATGGATTCCAGAAAAATCTATTTCTGGATATGTGCTCACTATGTTTGGGACATCAATCAGTTGGAAAGCACCACTTCAGAAGGTTGTTGCCTTATCTACCATTGAAGCGGAATATATCACCCTAATTGAAGCTGTGAAGAAAGCATTGCGACTTGAAGGTTTTGCAAAGGAGCTAAAACTTCAAAGTCAAGTT